TTGGGGGGGGGTGGGACAAGCCACAGGTTCTAGAGAGCTATACAGAACCATCATTGCAATTTAATTTTTAACTTGCTTTTTAAAAAGTACACTTCTCAGCTATACTAACACAAAAAATCAAGAAGTTAAAAAGTAATTATTTTGCATATAGTGACAGATTTGAATCTGATTAGATCTTTGCTATAGGTGGTGATGCAATTCAATCAATTTTTATAAATGTCCTAAATCGGCCACTTACTCCAGCTTGAAAACATATAGAAGTAGATTGTTACCTTGTTTAACAATTGTTTGAAGTTATGACAATGCTAAAAAAAAAAAAAAGATTTTGTGACCAGTTCTTGCACTTACGACCATCACGGCATCCTGCAGTTGTGTGATCTCATTTTGCACTTCACAACTGGCTTTTGATAAGCAAAAAAAGGAGAAGCTGCCGTAAAATCCCAAGTCAAGGCCACGTGATGTTTTACTTAACTATCTGCAGTGGCATGCTTTTAATGACCAATGGGAAGTGATGTTGTAAATCTGTTGTGGCTGTAAGTCTGTTGTGTTGTGTTTAGCATTGTTGTTGCAGGTCCCACTTGTGAGTAATAACTGTATGGGCATCTTTATAAACTGTATATTACTGGTAAAAACCCATTTGACCAGTAGATGGCAACAAAGAGATACAGAAATATTTGGTTCATTGCTGCTATCCTGAGATTACCGAGATATGGCAGCCTCATGAGGAGGCAGCGGCCCTCACGATTCCTGCATCAGTAGAGAGCTGTTGGAGATTCTTCTAGGTGCACCCTAATTCACCTCTATTTTTATCTGGATTTTAAAACTCTTTTCTCATTAAATGTTTAAAAGCAGAGATCCTCTGTTTTCCTTCCATTTTGATATGTTATATTTCTGCATAATATATGCCTGGCAATCAACTACCTGCAGCCGGAGGAGTAATTCAGTCATGACTTAAATGAAATTTGCAGGTCCATGTTTAGGTGGTCAACCCTTCTAAACATGGTGGAATTCTTGCTCATTTTTAGTGCTCTATTTTCCTTCCTCCTCTACTCACTGGTCCTGCTGGCGGGGTCATTTCCACTCACATCACCTGTCCGCCTTCCTTCTTCTGTGTCCAATTGGATCTGCTGTTCGTAGGGCCTTTTGCGTTCACCATTTTTATCTTGGCTGAAGGAAGATCTCCTTTTGCGTCTTTTTTTCTGGTCGCTATGGGGCATTGGTAGCCCAATGTAAATGGAATGGTAATCTGCTAGAGGAGACAGCCAATCAGCACAAAGAGAGCGAATGAGAAGGCTCCCCATTCATGAAAATGTCACACAGCATATATAGTGTGTTAAAATCGTCTCCCAAGAATAGAATATTTATTGGCCAAGTGTGATTGGACAGACACTGAATTGGTCTCCAGTGCATAAGCTCTCAATGTACATACAAACAACCAAGTAATATAATCACAAGATATCAATAAGAGAAGTTGAGTTGACACAGGAAGAACATTCTTTGTTGTGCCTTTTTAATGATGGTTCTAATGTTAGGTGTCCACTTCAAGTCCTGGGAGATAATAGAACCCAGAAACACGAAGATCTCTACTGTTGATACTGTGTTGCCAAATATTATAAGAGATGATAGAATAGGGGGGGCTCCTCCTAAAATCTCATATCATCTCTACAGTTTTAAGTGTGTTCAGTTCCAGATGCACCACAGAGGAAGCCGTTCAACCTACCGTCTGTATGCACGCTCATCACTATTGAATGAGACCAATGACTGTTGTACCATTGCAAACTTCAGTACTTTTAACAGAGGGAGGGAGGTGTGTGAAAGCCACGTAAATGGGGCATGGCATAATGGAACAACTGCATCTCTCAGCTCTTTGAGTTTAAGGGAGTTGGTCTGTATATGCTGTTCTGATAGTCCCCATTTATGAAAGATGCTCTGCAGCTACATTCTTGGGCATGATCAGTGATTGTTACCCCTTCTTGGTTCCTGATGCTGCTTTCAGAGAGGCTTCTTGTGGAGAAATTAAGCATCGAGAGTAGTTACGTAACTGTCCCTTGAAAGGAGCAGGTGGGGACAAATGGGTGAAAGCTAGACTTTTTCTAGCTAAATATTTTTAAGTGTTCAGCAGAGTCCGCAAACATATCCTGGACAAGGAAGGGAAGAATTTTCCCAGCTACAGATGTGATTTACATGTAACTAAAACATCTAAATTGTATTTTACTCAGGGAAGTACATAAGGGAAATGAGAGACATATTCCATGCCCAAGGGATGTATGACATCAGAACTGGAAAAATCATTCTGCCACAATAGAAGAAGGGAGTCTGAATCAAGGAGACGCACGGGGGAAATGCCCTTACCCTCTTCATCATCGTATTGCATTCTGAAGGTGCTGAGGCATCTCTCACCCATGGCGTCATTCTCGTACATCATGGCCAACCAGTAAATGCTATCATAGATTTAAAGGTAAAGGATTATTTAAAAATAATGAAATTCTAATGCAGCTAGTGAGAAATTACTAATTCAGCATTTTAAAAGAAAAAAAGTTGAAATAAGGAGCAATGAAAAGATTAATGAGAAATAATTACTCAATACACCATTCCTTTTGGAAGAAGCAAGGTTCTGCAAAGTGAAGAAAATGAGGAATTAAGATGTAAATAAGAAAACAATGTAATTATACATGAGCTCAGTGTTGGCTCAATGGTTAGAATGCAGTACTGCAGGCTAACTCTGCTCATACTGCCAGGAGTTCAATTCCTTCAATCCGGAACGGCCCATGGTTGACTCAGCTTTCCATCCTTCCAAGATCAGGAAAACGAGGACCCAGATTGTTGGGGGCAAGAGAGGCTGACTTAGACAGTGCTATAAAGCATTGTGAAGCGGTATATAAGTCTAAGTGCTATTGCTAATGCTATATTGTAGGAAGCTACATCAGCAGGAGGAAATGAGTGTAGACAACTGGCTAGACTAATTTTAGCCATCTATCAAAACTCACTCAAGTTTACCTAAAGCATGATCAGCATTTGGGAGATGGAGCCCACATTAAATTCCCTATATGCCTCCTCCCAATTAGATGGGCTAAATTCATGTTTAAAAATAACCTGCTTATCAGCTGTTAAATGTGGGGAATCCTACTTCATTACCCACCTCCCTGTGTGCTATTTCTAATGGAATTAGTGTTTCTGTGGAAGAGTAATAAACCTGTTTCAAAAGTAGTAGCCTGACTCAATGGAGAAGTTGTGTGGTGTTTGATCCCTTTCACCAAAAGGATCTCTCTTGAAAAACGTCTCTGAGCCAGGCAGAGAGCTAGATTCTCCTACTGCTCAGACCAGAATAACTTTTTTCATTTTCATTTTTTTTTCATTTTATTTGATTTATATACCGCCCTATTCCCGAAGAACTCAGGGCGGTGAACAGCCACAAGATAAAACACATAAATACAAAATTTAAAAGCAAAGTAAAACCGAATTAAACAATTTGGCCCAAGACAGATTTAAAAACACCCCAATAATTTAAAACAGATTAAAATTTACATTTTAAAAAGGGAAAAAGGGAAAAGATTAGGCCAGGCCAACCTGATGGAATAAAAATACTTTGGAGGGCAGAGCCTGGGAAAAGGAGTAAGCACATCCAGACTAACCTCAAGAGGCCAGAGGGACACCAGATGTTGCCAACCTCTGGAAGTCACTTGAATGGGGAATGAAGGAGTACCCAAAAAAAAAAAGCCTGCAAGTATTTTCTATTATTTCAATGCCTGTTAATTTCCCAAATGTCCTTTATGGGCGACTGGGAAAGATGTGGTCACATTTCATGGCAGAAAAATCAATCCCTTCCAAAGTCACTTTGAACCCAACACTGGTCCCTCCCTCTGGCACCTACAGGCTGTTTATTCCTGCACACTGAGAAAATCAAGAGAAAATGTTGTCATATTATAATTAGGTCAAAAGTAGATTTATATGAAAGTATATTAAAAGTGGAATATATATTAAAACTGCCACCAGTGAACATGGTAAGTTGCTTAACCATGCTTTTTATGAATTACACATCAAAGCTTAAATTAAATAAATGGCTTTAAGCACAACTCAATGAACTAAAAAAAAATGCTGCAGTAGAGTTTGGGGATTTAGTATTAGAAGCATACTTCAAAAATGGAACAAAAATTCAGACCATTTTTTATACAAATAGTACAGATGAATACCTTCTTGCATCTGTGATAACTTCCTTTTTTCAGAAGCCTCTCCCTTTGAAGCATTCAAAGAATTCTGAATGTACATTCAGATAATGTACTTACAGTTGAACCTTCCTGAGAAATGCTCCAGACTACGTTCAGGGGACTGGTCAGCTTCTGGTCAGCTGCAGGCTTTGGATCCCACCGAGTCCTGGATAGCTCTCAGAGTCAGCAAGAGGCCACTGGATGCTGGGATCGTATCGACCCACAAATGTTGCCGCAGCTTTTCTGTTGAAATGTGTGTGACATGACATGGATTGATCCCTTCAGAGCTGCAAGGAACTGGATCATGGGATGCTTCTCATGCTCATACATGAGTGTGTTCAGACAAATTCTGATCCATTTAATATGCAACCAACTCCAAGTAGCCAATTATCCCACAGCTGATAAAGATACTAAGCAGAATTTGTTTCTAGGTCTTGGATGAGTTAAGATTGTTGGTTGCAGGGATGAAAGTGCCTTGGCTGAATGTTTTGGTCCTAGTTGAATGGTCTGTATGAGCAAATCTGTTGGAACCCTGGCAAACAGAGGCCTCACCTCACACATCCCTCCTCTGGAGTTTTCCCACGTAATGAAGAAATCTTTTTCCACAATTACTTTAAGGAAGAAGTAAAAAGTCATTAAAGTTTTAGAGGATTTATAGCACTTTGAAGTGGTCAACCTTCAATTTCAGAACATCTCTCTGTGTCCATATATGTGAATTTTCGCCAGTGTCAGGCAGTGGCCAGGTGTAGATGAACGGTTCTTTGAGAATCCAAAGACAATGAACACACCAGTGAGGAAGGAGATTTCAAGCTTTATTGAGTACCCTTAGCAGGTAAATTAAATACAAGAAAGTATAAGGTAACAACAATTCAAGTGAAACCGATATTTAATCATTACAGTTGTTGAACGAAATGAAAGACCACCATCTTCTTGCCACATAGGAAAGACAAGGAAAAATACAATTTCTTCATATCTGCACTTGCAGGATGAGGTCCAATAGTAGAGAATCTCCGTAGCACAAGGTTGAAATGTGGAGTCCTTGGTGCTCTCTGAGCTCAGTTCTTTGCTCGGAGGCGTTTCACTCCTGAGACCATTGAGCATTATAGTGTATGGAGGTTTGCTTCCAATTTATATACAATACAGGTAGTTCTCGACTTACAATCATTCATTTAGCGACCATTCAAAGTTACAATGGCATTGGAAAAAGTGACTTGTGAGTGGTCCTCTCACAACCATTGCAGCATCCCCATTCGTGGTTGGTGAGAGTCTTCTTGCCCCCACTGGCCCTGCCATGCCAAGCAGGTCTTGCTCTGCATCTGCTCTATTATTCAAACAGATTTTCAGTTTGTGACCACGAGGGGGCGCTACAACCACACAAAAAAGAAAAAAGTCAAGGAAACAATGGGACTCCACTAATGAGACAAGATGGCAAGGAAGTAAAGGGCAGTGGAGAGAAAGCAGAGCTGCTTAATTCATTCTTCGCGTCTGTCTTTGCGCACAAAGATAATATATCTCAATCTACCAAAAACATAAATGTAAAAAACAGACAAGAAAATAGTACGAGAACTCCTGTCTGCTCCAGACGAGTTCAAATCACCAGGACCAGATAGATTACACCCCAAGGTCCTGAAAGAGCAGGCAGACGTGATCTCGGGACCAGTGAACCCTGTCTTTCAAAGATCCTGGAGCACCGGGGAACTACCAGAGGACTGGAAAAGAGCTGTCGTGGTTCCCATCTTCCAAAAAGGAAGAAAAACAGATCCAGGGAACGACAGAATGGATCGGCCTGACATCAATTATTTTTCAGCAGAGGGAGGTTGTCTTCAATGTGGCTCAATCGGCTTATCCAAGACGAGGCCTTTCTGCAGTGGTGCCTCTTTCCCAAGCGAGGCCAATCAGCTCTCTTCTAAGTCCGAGGCCTGCAGGTTTTCACTGGGCTCAGAGACGCGTCTTCACTTTGGGTGCCTCTGAGACGTTGCAGTTCTCTTGACAAGTTCGCCTTGGCCCTCTTCTTCCTGGAGTTGAGAAAGAGGGACTGGCCAACGGTCACCCTGCTGGCTTCCTCCTAAGGTAGGACAGGTAGTCCTCAACTTACAACCATTCATTGAATGATCGCTTGAAGTTACAATTGCATTGAAGAAAGTGCCTAATGACCGTTTCTCACACATATAACTACTGCAGCATCCCCCCCCATGGTCACGTGATCAAAATTCAAATGCTTGGCAATTGGTTCATATTTACAACAGTCGCAGTTTCCCCAGAGGTCACGTGACCCCCTTTTGCGACCTTCTGACAAGCAAAGTCAACGGGGAAGCCAGATTCACTTAACAACCATGTTACTCACTTAATAACTGCTGTGATTCAACTGTGGCAAGGAAGGGCATAAAATGGGGCAAAATCATTTAACTGTTTTGCTTAGCAACAGAAATTTTGGATTCAATTGTTGTCGTAAGTTGAGGGCAACTAGAACAGACTGTATTCCGGTTTCTCGCCTGGTGCTTTAACCATTACACCACCTGGGCCCTCCTGAGGCACTCCAGACTAATTCCCACACATGTGATGACATGAACTGTGATCCACAAGGGTGTCTACCCACTTATTGATAAGTCTTTGTGGATGCAAAAGACCCTGTGTTTGCTGCCAAAGATGATTGGACAGCTCCATGTCCAATCACTTATTTATTTAATCAATCAATCAACTGATCAGCCACTCGATCAATCATAGTCACTACCCTCCCAAGGTATCCTGATTACAAATAGGGGCTTACAAAAATCATGAAAAATAAAAGCAAAGAATATATATAGCAAAATTCAAAAGTAAGATGACTAGAAACGAACAAGATTTTACAAGTGTTTCTGTACCTTGTCAACACGGGCCTTTTTTCAAAACGAGGAAACGCCTTCCGCACGGGGCATTTCCTAAGGCAGATATTTATTTAACACCCTATGTTGCTGTGAGATTTCCATCAATGCAGAACGCGCCTCTTTTTCAGGCACTCTGCTCAAGTTCAGTGAAGGTGATAACACGCTTTGTCCCCAGACACCAGTTCATTGTGGATCCACTGGGTCACTAAGCGGCATCTGATTGGTTACGTGACGCTACATCACACAGTCCTTTTCTGTGGCCCAAGACCTCTATCACACACGAACACTCTGGGAGAGAGCCAGAATAAAGGTTAATTTTCAAAGGAGCAAAAAATGTGGGATTGCCACATTTGTAAACGTTTTGCAATCTTTCAAATGGGAACATAAGATTTATTTTATTTTGGAGATCCATATATATCATTACCTACCACACCAAATCCTTGCTTTTCACGGTCATCAGAATTTTTTGATGGTAAAATTACTACTGAAGTCTGTAAACTGGAAAGAACTGGAAATGTCTGCACTACAAGGTTCTTGACTGGTTGGGTTTTTGTAGTGAAGAAACTGCTTTAAAGTCATCAAGAGACTTTTTTTTGGGAAATTAAAGCATTAATTCAATTTGAAATGAGTGTAAAAAATTGGACCATCTACTAGGTAATATGTAGGAAAATGCAGGGGCAATATTTTAACCATCTGGTGTACAAAATACCTGGGATTCTTTTTTCTACTAAAGTTCTAAAATCTAAAAACTATAAAATAAAAAAGCTTCTACATTTCAGTTTTTTTAAAAAAAAATATATATTAAAAGTTCAGAGTCCCAAAATTGGAAAAACCTACTTGAATTTTAAACTCAACTTAGTATGCAAAAACAATTACTGAGTGGTTGTGTACATTTCAGAAGGCAAAGCACCCTTTACAATACCCACAGATCTCGTTGCTTAACAGTCCCACGCCACTTTTGGGCGGCTAGGCCTGACCAGTCTCTCCGGAATGGGCACCGCAAGCAACCTAAGAGCTTCACACTTTGCTGTGGCTGGTGGCAGCCTCGACCTCGCTCTCATCATCTTTGTCACAGACTGGGATGTAGCCACCTTCTCGAGGCAAACACCAGCACCAGCCGGCCCCCGTGAGGTCCAGAGTAGCAAAATTGAAGTCGCTCCAGTCTAGTTGCTTGAAGTCCACAGTGTCCATCTGGGAATGAATCTCATTCAGCTTCTGCCAATGTAGCCAGGCCATCACCAAGCCGAAGACCTGCAAGAAGAAAGGGGAGACAAGACCTCTTAGTATGTGGCCATCTTGCCCTGTGGGTTGGTTGCCTGCGGTATAGTGAGCAAGGCCGCTAGTCCTGTACCTAAACAGTGGAAAGATCAAGGGACAGGACGTGCTATGGGGAGAGACCCTGTACCATGGGTGGCTGTGCCACTGAGGCTGGTGAGGTGAAAATCCTGCTCTTCAAACGCTTCCAACCCTGGTGCCTAAGGCACCAGTGCAGACCCTGCAGGCAGGGGATGCAGGTCGGAAAACCGAATTCTCTTTCTCCTCTTTCGTACTTGGTGACTCTATGAGCTCTATGAGCTGGTCTGGAGACTGAGGGAGGCTTGGTGGCAGCACTAGTGGGCTTGCTCCCAGGGTTGGTTGTGCTGCAGGCCAACAATCACAGGACTGTTGATGCGATGGGTGGCGCTTTCAGATCTCCCAACTCTAATGCTTGCATGAATGGAACATTTCCTACAGCATGCCTGGCCTTTGTGTCCATGAACAAAATAATGAAAGAATGCCAGCTCTGGATCCTTTAAAAATGTGACCGCTGAAAGAAAACTGTGGGGAACAACAGAAATTTGGCATCTGCCCAGCTTGTTTCTATTCTGAATGTCCCTGTGGCTTCCTTTGCAGGAACCGCAACTGGGCTGGAATGCCCAGGGATCCCAACAAAGAAGAAAGATGGCAACCGGAGAGAAAACACCAATTATCCTGGCTCACTTTGGGGCCAACAAAGACAGCTACTCCGGACGCGTTATGGATCCCGATTCTTTTTTATTAGGACAAGTGGGGGCTTGTGGGGCACTTAAAAACCTCAAGATCGACACCACAACGCAAAGGTTGCAAGCGCCAATCCCAGGACTGGGATCTTTCCCCAGCGGATGGACGCTCTGATGTCTGACCTTTGCAGTTAAGTCTCCTGATGTGCTAAAGATGCTTCTTTCGTGCCGCTTTTTCAAGGGCAAAAATACAAGCACTCCCAAATAACGATCAGAGAACAAAGTGGGTTTTTACCTGAGGAAGGAGCAAAGAGCAAACAATTGCTAAAGTGGCTTCAAAATTGTCTTTGAACCAAAAGCTCACTGCGTGGATGCAGCCGCGTACGTGGATGGTGTTCACCAGCTCCAGTCGCTACAAAAAGGATAAATCTCCGATTAATGACATTATTGTGTCTCATCCCATCACAAGTCATTGGCTCCAGTCATACATTTGGCTATTACATTTGATTGATGGAAGTTTTAAAGAATTACTGAGATCCAGCAGGTACCCCCAGATTTACCCAAGATACTGGTTTCTACAACGCTAACAAAGTTAGAAAGGTGGCCAGACTAATCTTTATCAGAGGATGTGACTAAGTATGTTGGGTAAACCAAGCTGTTTGGTGAGTTTACACAGTGCTAAGGGGCCAATTCAGTAATCAGATCATGCTGTTGTGAGAATCCACCACATAATTTGAGAAGGCTTTTCCCAGCGAACTCCTTGCCTGGCCATTCACACAACTCTCACAGGTATCTGTTCTTAGCCATTGTGAGCAGAATGGCTTGAAAGACCCAATCTCCTCTTTGGGGTGCAGTGACCAGGAATTCCTGTGGTGCTGGCTAAGGCTGCAGTCAAGAGCTCAGATACGCTGGCATTCTTGTCTGCAGTCTTGCTCCTAATGATGCTCAGCAGCAACACTGCCCAAAGCACCTGTTTGTTTGTTTGTTTGTTTATATACGTCACACTTCTTAGCCACTCATCTCCCTTCCTGCCTGCTGCTGTTTGGCATTCAACTCAGCCCGGTGAATCTCAGTTTGCTACCTCTTGATTTAGTGTTCGGTATCCACACAGAGTGTTGATGACTTCTCCTGGCGCCTGTGAAGACAACAAGAAGAGGAGCCAATGGCAGCAGATGGAAGAAAGTTTGGGTGGTTATGTTTAAGACCCGCCGGGAAGAAGAAAAGTAAAGCCGGCCGTTTTGGTGGCCTTCGGTTGTTCTCACACGGAACAACTGCATTCTGCATCTAAACAACCATCAGTTCATATTCACAGCACAGCCTTGAAGTTGCTTTGCTAAGATTTTTCTGTCCTGAAGTCACTTATGACTGCTTAAAATAAGAGCTACCTTGAGGAAAGGCTGGTGTGTCCCTCGCGTCAAGAGCTCTGCTATTTTCTGGGCTGAATAAAGCCGAGGGGAATTGAAATCACCCGCCTGTTTCCTGATGGTCGAGATAATTCTAGTGGCCGGTCCTTAGTTCTGGAGTGGAACACTTCAGAATGGAAACTCTGCTTATTACAGAACATTTTTCATCTACAGTTACCCATTGGGTTTCTTTGTATTAAGCCTCAGAATAGGTCATTTGCTCCACAGAAATGCCATTCCCAAATCTATTTTACAAAATGAAATCTGCTTTTTTAATATTTCATGGAAATGCTAATCTATATGTTGTCTCATCTCTCATACTGCTATCATACATTGCTATTCATAACTAAATTAACAATGTATCCATTTTCAAAAATAGACCTATTAAGGGAAATGGGTGCAGATTTCATTTTGCTCAAAACACAACCAGAGCTTTGCAGATTAGCACTTTCAATTTGACAAAATATGCATTTTGGGATTGTGCTTTGATGTATTAGGAAAATGTGGCCTCATTTTGCTGATAATTCTCTTGCAAATATTATGGGGAAGGGTGCTGAAGGTTCAACCTTCTCTCCTGCTAACATCTCTATGGTGTTATATATAACCAACAGATGGATTGGCAACTGGCTGACCAAGCTGACATCAATACCTGTGAAAATCCTGAAAAAGATAAGCAAGCGGAGGAGGAGTTGTGAGCACCTAGAAACAAACAAGGCAATTGCTAGAAGCCATTTAGTATGGGCAACCAAGAGAAAAGAAGGACTAGGAGTGACGTGATAGCAGTATTCCAGTATTTGAGAGGCTGCCACAACGAGGAGGGGGGTCAACTTATTTTCCAAACCACCTGAGGGCAGGACAAGAAACAATGGATGGAAACTATTCAAGGACAGAAGCAACCTGGAGCTAACGAGAAACTTCCTAACAGTGAGAACATTTAACCAGTGGAACAGAAGTTGCCTTCAGAAGTTGTGGGTGCTTCATCATTGGAGATTTTTAAGAAGAGAATGGACAGTCCCTTGTTTGAAATGGTACGGGATCTCCTGCTTGAGCAGGAGGCTGGACTAGAAGACTTCCAAGGTTCCTTCCAGCTCTATTCTGATTCTGATTCTGACTTCAATAAGGCATTTTTATTTTTTATTTTGTTTTTTTAAATTTGATCTATATGCCGCCCTTCTCCGGAGACTCAGGGCGTCTTACAGTGCGTTAAGCAATAGCCTTCATACTTTTGTATATTTATACTAAGTCAGCTTATTGCCCCCACAATCCGGGTCCTCATTTCACCTACCTTAGAAAGGATGGAAGGCTGAGTCAACTTTGAGCCTGGTGAGATTCGAACTTACAGTAATTGCAGACAGCTGGTGTTAATCACAATGCTTTTAGTCTGCTGAGCCACCAGGCCCCATTTGACAAAGTAGACCACAGCCTATTTCTTGTGGAACAATGTGGTCGTGGATTCTTGACCATTCTTGACCACCAAGAATCCATGACCTTATTTTTCCATAGCATATCTGACTTAACCAAATACATAAAGATTGAAACACTCAGGATTATGGATCACATAAAGCTCTGCTTAACTACAAACTTCCAATTTGATGGACATATTTACCAACAAATTAAAGGAACATCTATGGGATCACCACTTTCAGGACTTATAGTGGAGGTCATCATGCAACATCTAGAAGCCATAGCACTTCCACAAATACAACCAAAAATATGGATCAGATATGTAGACGACACCTTCACCATAAGAAAAAAGGACCAATTAGAAAACCACCAATAGAACCATCAATAACATTTTTAAAGGAATCCAGTTTACTATAACGGAAGAAAACAACAACTTGCTACCCTTCCTGGACATCCTCATCAGCAGAGACCACAATGGCAAACTAGAAATGCAAGTCTACAGAAAAACCATCCACCCATACTACCCAGGGGCTCCACTACCAAAGCAACAACCCAACTTCCCACAACAGAAGCTGCGTAAGAACTTTATTTAGACAAGCCCAAACACACTACAGCAACTGGAACAGCAGAAAAAGGAAATGGAGCACCTGTACAACATATTCCAACAAAATGGATATCCACACAACTTTATCAAAAAGTCCCTGACCACTCAACCCAATACAGCACAACTAACACAAACCCTAAAACAAATTACACTGTCATACATCATGAATATCTCAGAAACTACCAACAGACTCCTACAACCACATGGAATCAGCATAGCACACAAGCCAACTAAAGCCCTTCAAAACATCTTAAGCAGACCAAAAGAGACAACAACCATAGAAGAAAAAACTGCAACATTTTAGAAGTTCACAGACATGACACACCACCTCCCCTCATCTCTGTAGCAGCCCTTCAAGGCAGCTATCATGCCACTCCTACTCCATCTTCTCACTAAGCTCTTAACTGTTCATCCTACTGTTTAGCCTCCAGCCTTTAATCATCTTTGTTGCCCTTCTCTCCACTCTTTCTAGAATTTCAGCATCTTTTTTGTATCACAGTGTCCAGAACTGGAGTCAGTTTTCCAAGTGTGCCCTCACTAGTGCAGTGCGCAGCAACACCATCATTTCCCCTGATCTTGATGCTACTTCTCTGTTGATGCAGCCTGGGACTGCATTGGCTTTTTTTGCCAGCTGCAGCACAAATAAGCACTTTCTTTTACAGGATTCAAAATCCAGCCTTCTCTAACCTGGGCACCTTACAGATCTATGTCCTTTAAACTGTTCCAGTAAAAGCTGAACTTCATGTCTGTGGAAGGTGCACACGGTGAGGGATCCTGCGGTAACTGAACCCGAGGTGTGGCCTGAAAAGAAGCATGTCAGAAAACTGCATGCCATTTGAACAGAAGGAGACTGTGGCCCTGCCATGAAGCAGTCCAAAGGGATACCAGTGCAAGGTGTATCAACCCTAACCCTAACCCTCCCTTCTGGAAGCCCCCTGTGCAAGCCTCTTCCACCTCACCTTCCTGATACAGCAGGTGTAGGGCACTCCACAGGCCAGAGGGCCACTGCCATTGCACGAGTGGTATGGATTCACATGCCAGTCGCTGAATTCGTCACCTCCACAGCAGGAAAACTACAAGACAAAGAGAAGAGCTGAGTACATAGGTTCATCTTCCATCATTAAAAGTAAAACAATACGGCAATTCCAGGAAGTTCCAGACCAGAGGCCTTTAGTCTTCAGAGAGACTGGCCTACTCTAAGCACGCAAAACTATTTAGCTGAAGAGATCTATGGCCACTTTGTAAAGCTGAAGGAAAACGTGTGCTATAGCCACGGCTGCTTTGCCCAGGGAAAGAAGGAACGGTGGTCATCTCTGCTCAACAGGCAGTGCTTCCTTCTGTTCTACAAATGTCCGGGCTGCTCCCCGGGGTTCTTCTAAAGGATCGAGGGTTAGTGAGTGGAATAGGATCTTCCAATGGCTGAATCTTTCACCTTTTCCTGCTGAAATACCAAGTGACAGAAATGGAAGGACACTTTCAACAGAATCATCAGCAGACCGGAATGAATTTGTTTTGGGCAAAAGTTCGTCTGAGGCCAGAGCAGTCTAGTTGAGATTTTAGCAAGACCATCCAAAAGTCACCTCCCTCTGGGAGTGGGGTGAAATAGCGAAGTGGCAGTATACACCTGAACAGCTGCAGCAATTCCTATTGAACCCATGGCAGAAGGTGAATCTTTGTTAATTCCTGTTCAAATCCAAACTTCCCCTCTGGTCACTGTCAAATAGGGAACAGTTCTAACAACAATTTTCTGCAAAAAAGCCGTAACAGAGATAAAAACCCAGACAACGGTAAAAGCACTCTAGACTAAGAAAGAACTCTTACACTTTCCACCCATCAGTGTCTCTGTAGATGAGTCAAATTCTTAAGCTTTGTCACCCAGCACCTTATTAGATTGGGAAAGTGAGGAACTTACATTTCGCAAGGAAAGAAGGCAATTTCGGACCAGGGAGGAAAAGGGGCATGAAACCCCCTCCAGCGAATCTGATGCGGAGCTGCTAGCTAAAAATTGATTGTTACAGCTCAGACTGTGACCTCAGCCTATGGCCAACTGCCAGCAGTTACTAATAAGTATGATGAGCTACAATGGCTCCTGGACCATGGATATGGAAAGACCTTAGTTATAATTTTAAGGAAAAGTTTTATTATTAAGAATCAATCAAGGATATTTGACCCTGGACAGACCAGAGACAATGACTGAAATTGAAACTGAAGCCATTGCAGATTTTCTGTGAGTAAAACACATTAATGGATTGTTAACAGAGGGTTTGAAGTAAGTTTCTGTTGTTGGGCTTATCTGTTAACTATTTCTTTTTACAGTAGATAAATAATAGGTCAAATTGTTTAGGTAAATAGAGTTGTAGCTGTTTATATATTGTAGGCCTGTTTCGGAAAGAGGGAAAAACTACTAATGTTGTAATATATTTAGCAGTATTCAATTAAGGGGGACAATATATGTATATTTTAGTTTTTTTAATTAATGCACTTATTTTTGTTTTTGTCCTTAGTTTTGTTCTGTTTTTGGTTGGTTTTTTTTTGTGAATTTGTATTTTAACTCTTGAATAAAAAAAATATAAAAATTGAATACAAAATGAAACTAAAATAAATAATAAAAGGCATAAACTTTGTGAAGTACATTCACTTCATCAGATGCATCATGCATCACAAAAGTACAGTATATGCCTTTTAATAAAACCTGTTAGACTAAAAAGGTGCTACTAGGGTCCTCCTGACTTTTGTCTATTATAGAACAACATGGTTCTCCTGCAGCATCTGCTATGAGAAGCAAAGGTCTCTGAAGAACAATGGGGAGTCCTGGGGATCTTCCTCAGTTCAGAGGTTATTCCCCAAGAATTCTGTTTTGTCCTTCGTGTTTGATGTTAACAGCTTAGGGAATTCTCCTGTTTGCAAAGAGGCCATCCAGAGTTCCAAACGAATGAGAGAATCCAACAAAGGAGAATATTTTTAGCTCAGAGTTGAAATGAGGGATTCTTGTTGCTCTCTGAGCTTGGTTGACTTTCAGCAGATGTTTCATTGCCCAAACTAGGTAACATTATCAGTGCCAGAATCTGGGAGAATCTATCCCAGATTGCACATGCATTGTTTAGCAGAATAAGGCATTCTGGATCGGTCTAGCCATCCAGCCTTTCTCCAATAACATTTTTGTTATAACAAAATGACAGTTGACCCAAAAATATAGCGTTACCTTTTGCTGAACATAGTCCAAAATATTTTTGAAATCCAAGTCGTCATAATAGTGTCTTATTCCATCCTGAATGCTGGAATGGAACACTGCATTCATCTGCAAGAAAAAAAAAGAAGAGTTTCCACAGACCCCTGAAGAGATCTCCCAGGTTGGGAGTCATCTGCAAGGCCAGCAGCTTTCACCTTTGGGGCAGCCACAAATGTCAAAACAGCATGTGCTCAATAATTAGAAGCACCATTTACTTTACAAGGAAGATGTCTGACAGAGCCCTGGTTTGTTTCTGTTTAAATTCTAGCATCACAGAGTCACAGAATCATAGGGTTGGAAGCACCAAAGGTTGTCAGTAATTATTGTTAGGGTAAATGTATCTGCTTGATTGTTGCTTGATAGATGGCCACATAGTGACCTGAACCCACTGGGAGAATCAGGTCCCTTCCTGCCCCAGATCAGCTTTGAGCCTGTGTGCTGGGGAGCAAGGTAGGGAAGAAAGCCCAGCAGGAAGCAGTGGGGACCGCTAGCGAAACGATTGGGCTCGGGGGGTGGGGGGGGGGGGGGGGGGGGGGCTCTGCTGCAGCCACCCTGAATAGGGTTTCAGCAAAATGGGAGAGAGCAGCTTCCGCCTCCATCCAGGGCTCCAGCCAAGCTCAGAGTGGGGCTCCTTCTCTCCTGAGCGAGAGCCAACAGAGTTTGTCCAAGACCTCCGGCCCAGAGGCCTCCGCTTCAGGCATGATCAGGGCAGCTATGACAGGCAAAAGGATGAGTCGAAATGTCAGGTCCCGACTCTCTTTGCCACTCCTGGCCTTCCATCAATAGCCTTGGTTCTTCTCACCCACGGCAAGAGCCGGTCAATGTCACCACAGGGCTGAGACATGCTTGGGACCTGCATGTGTGGGCTCAGTAGGCCAATGTGGCCCCAAAGTGGGCAAGAAGACAGGTGAGATCCCTCCTGTAGCAGGAGCCCTGCAGCGCTCAGGCCCAGCCCTCCACTGGAGACTGTGAGGCAGCCGGATTAGGGCCACGCGTCTGCTCCTGCCAAGAAAGGGGGAGGGACCTCTGCATGTGTGTATGTTTGAGTGTGCATGTGTGTGCGTTAAGAGAGAGAATGTATTTGTATGTGGGAATGCAAGAAAAACCAAGAAGGTGGCAAGGGAGAGAAGAGGAAAGCAGAAAACCTCGAAACAAAATCAGCCTGTGGGTTGCAGGGGACAATTGGCAGCCACGATTCAGACAGGGCTGAGGAGAGTGCAGAACCTGGCCACCTCACCATCCCCCAAAGAGGCAGAACTGGGTGGCAGCTGATGAAGGTCTTACCCACTCCAGCCAAAGACAGAGATGCCAAATTTGCTGCAAAGGCTAGGCAGCTGGAAAGTCAGGAAAAACAACAACAACAACAACAACAACAACAACAGCCATCTGCAAAGCCAGCCCAGGTTAGGATGGTCAAAGGAAGGCTAAAGAGTGACTGGATCTCAGGCTCGGTAATTTCCCCATAGCCCACAGCTGGAGATCAGCCGAGGACAGGGAGAGGCAAGTCAAACCTGACTGCCAGAAAAAAGAAAAGGAAGAGGAGTTTATCAAAACTCAAGAAACCATAGATAAGGAATCTCTATGAGAATGCAGAACACCTACAGAAATTCCTAGAACCTGCTAGACGCCCTGAAATAATTATAGCTCCCATCGAGGACAATATTTGGGGGAAGGAAGCAGAAGCCTTTAAACTAAACAATGGGGGACAAAGAGTTAATTGATACAGAACATTTTGTCCCCAGCAATCTAAAATTAAAAGGGTTATCAGTGCATGTAACACAGATGTTTGTGCGGGTAAGAATATCAACCTTGCTGTCAAGCAAAATCAAGCTTTTAACAGTGAGTACCATACCACGTGCACTAATCAAACAGGTGGTAAGGAAGTAGGGGGACAGGCACAACACAGGTTATTTAGAAAGTAAACGCAGGGTGAGGACTCAAATGTCTATACACCAATGCACAGAGTATGAGGAATGAATAGGGTAAATTAGAAATTCAAGTAAATGAGGTCAGATATGATATTGTTGCCATTATGGAAACTTGGTGGGATGAAACCCACAAATGGAGCATACAGCTAGAGGGATTTAAATTATTTAAAAGAAAGAGACCAAAGAGGAGATGGAGTTGCAATATATATAAGAAAAAACTACATCTCTACAGAAATAGAGCACAACAATGATGAAAACTGTCTTGAATGCATTGGGGTCAATGCATAAAAGTGTTCCTGACAAACCTAGCAGACAACTTTGTCTCCCAAAAAGTAGGGAAAGGAACTAGGGAATCAGCTCTATTGGGCTTAATTTTCCCTAACAGAGATGAAATGATAGAAGGTGTTGAAGCTACAGGAACCTTGGGGAGGGGGAGTGATCATGCAATATTGCAATTCAACATGATGCAAGCACAAACAATAGAACAAAGTCAAACTAGAGTTTTGGAATTTAAGAGAGCTAATTTCAATAAACTTAGAGAGAACTCTGGAAGTATTCCATGGATGAGAATCCTCAAGGGGAAAACAACCCAAGACGCTTGGGAAATTTTGAAAAGTGAGATTATAAAAACCCAATCTAGCCCAATACCAGTGAAGAAGAAAAATAACAGCTCTCAAAAGAAATGGCCTTATTGAACTTTATGAACATGACAGCATAAAGAACTCTCTGATAAATTGAAAGACAAAAAGGACAAGTATAAAAAGTGGAAAGAGGGGCACATAACTAAAGCAGAATATCACCAAATAGCCCGAGCCTGCAAAGATGAAGTGAGAAAAGCTAAGGTTCAAAATGAACTAATTGCGACAAAAGTGAAAAGTAACAAAAAAAAGGGAGCCTCTTTCAACATGTAAAAAACAAGAAAAAGGTCAAGGAAACAATTGGTCCATTAGTGGGAGAAAATGGCAAGAAGGTGACAAGCAACCGGGAGAAAGCAGAACTGTTTAACTCGTTTTTTGCATCCGTCTTTACGCCAAATCCAACCTATCTTTGAAATATATGGTTCAGAGATCACATCTGCCAGCTCCTTCAGGATTCTGGGATGTAATCCATCTGGTCCTGGCAATTTGAACTCATCTAGAATGGACAAGTATTCTCTTGTCATTTTCCTGCCTCTTTTGACTTGTAACCCTAATCTGTCTTTTATGGTTCTGTTACTGTTAAACTATTTTTTTCCTTTTGTGTAAAGGCAGATGCAAAGAATGAATGATTCCTCCCCCTTTCCAATTCATAATCTCTAATGGGCAAAGTGTCTCCAGTCATAGGAGTGACTGACATAGAGAGCTTACCTGCTTCTCGAAGATGATTTCGACCAACAATAGCAGCAACTCAATGATGAAGATGGCCAAGAGGACCCAGAAGAACTAGGCAAAAGAGACAGAAAGGGGGCAGGGAACCGAGGGTCATTAAAACAAGAACCTGTGCGCTCATTTTTTAGCAATTGCTGCCGGGGCATTAGAACAAGTTTGGTCACCTTCCTAAAATACAAACAAGATGCAGAAAGGACTTTTTTCTTCATCCAATGAGCAGGAGATGCCACGGAAGAAATGTAGGGCAAAGGCAAATCCTTTATGATAATTTCAGCTTGTTTAAGAGCATCAGCTGCTGGATTCAGAGGATTTCTTCTTTTTTCCCTTTGACAAGCGGACTCCATAAACTTTCAGACAAATGGTCTTGAGATGGAAGAGCATGTATGAAACAGAAATCAACCCCCCTCCCCCCAAAAAGCATGTGTTTTAGTGTCAGGCGTGAAAGACCAGGTCCACACATGGAGATTCAATTAAACCGATTTGCCGCTAAAGCCCGTGGACAGGAATCTTCTCAACCAATGGGAGATACAATTTAGTTAAGGGTCAACCACACTCAAAGGGGTTGCACTTACTTTTGTCGGTGGCTTCATCCCTCCCTCAGGCTCTGCCATTCTTCTCCTACATTTAGGCTTCTACATGACTACAATGAATCACTTTTAATAACTTATTAAATTTAATGGAGTGTATATAAACTGCTGCAATATTACATACTTCCTATTTTCCTGAGTGGAATGTGATTGCAATGTATTCACAATATTTAACTTATTTACAATATTAACAATATTTGAGAGGCTGCCACAAAGAAGAGGGGGTCAACCTATTCGCCTAAGCACCTGAAGGCAGGACAAGAACCAACGGATGGAAACTAATCAAGGAGAGAATCAACCTAGAAATAAGGAGAAATTTCCTGACAGCGAGAACGATCAATGGGTTTACACTGTGAACTCAGCCACAGAGGTAGGAACTTCTGCATAACTTTAGCTGCTTATTAAAATAAATTTGCATTTTGTTAAGTCTTTCACTTTTTCTATATGGCTGTTTCAGGATTGTATCCCAAATGTTCTATTTAACTTGAAATCACCATAAACAGTTACAGTTTTTGCTTTTTCATATTTCTTATTCCCCCGAGCAACATGGGATGTGGTTTCTTTTTGCCTTTTAACATTTTCACAAAATGCATCTTTCTTCTTCCAGTGTTCTCAGGATTAAAAATAGGCAGTCGTTATTTTACAACTTTCCTTGGATTGCACCTTTGCTGCCCTAAAGGAATGCACTCACTCTGTGAGGCCTGAACTGAACTTGGGACAAAATCCTTCTGCAGAGAGATTTGGCAGGCTGCTTAACAGACTTCACCGCATCCCCAAAAGGCCTGAGGTGAGTTTTCAGATTTCTAGTTTTCCTTTAAAATACCCAATCAGAAATTCTCCCACTTTCTTTAATGCCACATTGTTTGAGGAAGGATTTTTCTTCCCTGCTTTGCTTTCTTTCTTATCACAAATAGCTTCAGGTAATTTCTTTATGTTGTATTATATTTATTTCCCCAGAAACATCTGTTGAAACTGTGAGTTTTCAAAAAATGTTTTAACTCTGTTGTAAATATCCGTCCCCCTATTATTTTTCAAATTCTGTTTTTCTGCTTTTTTGTTTTACTTCTACAATCTACGATCCATCATTTTTTTCCTTTTATTTATCTAGAGAAATTTCAAAGCTTTCATTCAAGATATTTCACTGCACACTTCATCTTGCACTCAGTACAGCACTGACTTTCCACTTCCTCTCTGCTCCACTGTGAGTGGAGATTGACAGGACCAGGGTTGCTTTGCCCAAGGCAGAAGGGAAGGGTCCCCATCCGTGCTTTGCCCTGCTCTTTGTGCAAAAGGCCTTCCTTGCAAGATCAGGCATCTGACCCAGAAGCCCCTTGCCCAGGAGTTCACCCGCTGCCTTGGGCTGGGAAAAAGAGCTGAAGTCACTCCTGGCAGGCAGGAGCATGAAGAGGCAACTCTTCAGCTGCAGGGCAGGGCTGAAATCACTTCGCTGTTGAAAAAGCAGCCATTTTGGAATTTATTTGTCAAAAGGACAATAACATTTCTGAACTAATTTATGAAACTATTATCTCTATTAACTAAAAGAGGCTCTCTTTAGTCACAGCCTTTTTGAGTCTTCTTTATTGTTAAACAACTAAAAAGAGGGTTGCTGGAGGCAAGCTACAATAAAGAAGTATGGAGTATCTTTTCTTCTTAATTCTGATGGAGAAACGTAAGGATAGAATGATGTGGTTTTATTTTACTATTTTTAAATAATATGTAGCCTTGAATTGTTTGGTTATGGGTGGCTGAAATTTTCTGATTTTTATGAACTCTGATTGGCCAGAAACAAACAAACAAACAAACAAATAAACAAACATTCTTTGACCACTAGAGGGAGCTAGGATGGCCAAATTTGAGCATATTTTTGGGGAAGTTTTTAAAAATTTTTACAGAAAATTACTCATTTTATAGATTCATTAGGTTCTAAAGATATAAATAATATGGATAATATAAAAAAGAGCAAGAGGTGCAATTATGTGTAGAAAATTATCAAACCGCTAAGGCAATTTTACAAATATCTGACAAGGTAAAGGACTTCACTGCAATTTTGGAATATAAACCTGACACCAATTTTTATTAGGATGATGGTTTAAATACAACCGTCTCAGAGCAATTGAAACAAGAATTTTAAGCAAATTCACAACTTTCAAAAGGACAAGTTTGGGACATTTTTTTCATGGATACTAACAAAGTTGAAAATTCTTTAAGAAAAAGAGATACCATAGAGGTTTCAGAGAAGATTTTATTCTATGAGGAAGAGCTCCAAGCAAATCTACTTCCAACAGAAGAATTCTGGGACTTTTTCTTCATGGATATTAAACAAGGTTGAGAATTCCTTGAGGAAAATAAACTTGACAGATATTACAGAGAAGAAAAAAGTTTTATCTAAGGGAATGGCTTAAGTTTAATGAGTTAATTGGAAGTAGGATGGATTTTTACAAGTTTGTCACATGTAATTGAAAGAAAGCTCTAATGTAGTTTTGTTTTATAAAGTGGATCTGAAACTTTTTCTGTTTTTTATATATAATGTTTGAGTCATTCCTAAAGTTTGTAAAATATGATTGAAAGTAAATTTGAAAGTATGAATGATTAGAAATATTTTAAAGAAAAATCTAGAGTTCTTAAATGGATGGGTTTTTTTTAAAAAAAAAAGTGTTTTCCCCTTTAAGATTAAATAACTTGAGAGAGTGTAGTAAATTATGTTAATATAAATGATGATAATTTGTAAAAATCAATTGGTACAAACAGAAGTATAATTTCCCACAGCAAAAAGAAAAATAGAGATGATTAAATTGATTGTTTTGTTGAAAGAAAAGAACCTGCCTCATTTTGTTTCCATTTGGAAATCGCTTCTAGATTTTATGCTTATGAAGGAAAGAAGGAAGCTTTGATTTTGGTTTTGCTGATTACATACGTTGTTATAGAAACGGCTACTATATATTATTGTGTAAAAGTAAAAAGTTGAGGTTGTAGTGCTATCATCTTCTACTGTGTTCAAGAGAGGCAGAGGTCCTTTTTCCCATTTTACCCCACACTTTTTCCTTTTCCCGTTTCCCTCCCTTAGTTTTTCACTATTTTCATTCTCTTTGTATTTTATAATCTGATACACTAAATAAAAAATTTCAAACCAAAAACAGTGAGAGCAAAGAACAACTCACCCTCTTGGAGACAAGCAAGTGTTGGGGAAGAAAGGCAGACCCATCAGAGCAGAAACGTATCTAAGATGCAATCCTTGAAGGCACCTTGTGGATCACTCAGGAAATGGGGCTTGCAACAGCCATGTTTTGCTCAGCAGGAGATTGAAAAGAGGAAAGCGTTTTTCATCCCCAAGCAATGTCACAAAATGTTATTAATTTTAAAAACGAAAAAGTATTTGACATTTGTAATTCATAGGGGAGATGAATTTCTGATATACAGATGAAAAATAGTGTCAGGCAGGAACAGTTTGTGATATTTATTTAACCAAAGTGGCCTCCATTTGTGAACTGAACATGACGGCAAATAAAATTTTACTTCTGATTCCTGTACAAAGTTGATTATTTGGAACTCCGATTAATTTTCTCTCTTTGCAGAAGTTATTCAAACTTGCACAGTAAAGTAGCGGGGACAAAGTTCAAAGTTTAGGGAACAAACAGGGTGAACATGAAGTATTAGGACATGCAGGCAGATAGGATATAGTTGCCATTACTGAAACTTGGTGGGATGAAACTCATGATTGGAATGTACTGATGGAAGGACACAAACTGTCCCAAAGAAACAGGCCTAACAAAAGAGGAGGTGGAGTTGCATTATATATAAAAGATCAGTACATCTCTACAGAAATACACAAAACCAAGGATGAAAAGGACTCCTAGAGTCCATATGGGTCAATATAAAAGGGGGGGGAGGAATGAGAATGCTATAGGTGTATATTACAGGCCACCCAACCAAGCAGAAGAAATAGATGAACTCTTTGCTAATCAATTAACAAATGTATGAAGGAAACATACCACAGTAGTGATGGGAGGCTTTAGCTACCCTGATATCAACTGGGAGACAAACTCTGCAGCAAGTGGGCGATTGAACCGATTCCTAACCAACTTAGCTGACAACTTTGTCCATCCAAAAGGCAGAAGAGGGAACTAGAGGAAAAACTATGCTGGACCTTACAAACAGAAAAGAAGTGCTAGAGGGAACTGAAGTTACTGGAACCTTGGGCGAGAATGACCACATTATACTGGAATTCAATATAATGCAAACACGAGCAATAGAATATAATCCTCATCCAGATCCAGTCTAGCCCAGAGCTTACTATAAAGTAAAGCTGACTCCTTCAAAATTGTCCAGGAAAGAAAATGGTAGAACACCTGTCCTTCTAGACAAGTTCAAATCACTGGGACATAACAGATTACATCTGTTTTGAAGGAGTTGGCAGCTCTCAGAACTACTGAACAAAATCTTTCAGAGATCCTGGAGCACAGGGGAAGTACAAGAAGACTGGAAAAGAACTGATGTGATTCCAATCTTCAAAAAGGCAAAAAAACTATAGATCAATCAGACAATATCTGCAAAAATCCTGAAAAAGATAATTAAGCAGTGTATTTATGAGCACCTAGAAATGAACAAGACAGTTACTAGAATCCAGCATGACTATGTAAAAAGCAGATGATGCCAGACAAAATGTATTGCCTTCATTGGCCAAGCAACTAAATTAATGGATCAAGGAAATATTATGGACATAGTTTACCTAGACTTCAGTAAGGCATTTAACAAAGTAGACCATTGCCTACTTCATGGTAAGACAGAAAAATGTGGGACAGACAGCATCACCACCAGATGGATTTGCAGCTGGCTGACCAACTGCACTCAACATGTAGTCCTCAATGGAGCTACATCAACGTGGAAGGAAGAATGCAGTGGGGTACTTCGAGGTTTTGTCTTAGATGCAGTGCTCTTCAACATCTTCATAAATGATTTACATGGGAGGGTATAGAAGGGAAACTCATCAAATTTGCAGATAACACCAAATTGGAGGGAATAGTCAACACTTTAGAAGATGCACTCTCTCAAGAAGGAACTTGAGAGACTTGAACACTGGTTCCTATCCAACAAAATACAATTCCGTGGTGCAAAAAGTAAGGTTTTACACCTAGGCAAGGAAAACCAAACACATGGGTATAGAACAGGCAGTACCTGGCTCAACAGTAGTGATTGTGAGAGTGATCATGGTGTCCTAGTAGACCACCACTTGCACTTTATGGCAGGATGCCAATGAAACGAAGAAGCTGAAGATGGCAGGCCTGACACCAACATAGTCCTAGGCGGCATCAACAGAGGGATAGTATCAAGATCACCTGAAGTGATATCACTTTACATTGCACTTGTAAGACCATACTTGCATACTTCACCCTGTTATGATCACCATGACAAGATGTTGATACTCTACAAAGAGCGCAGAGAGGACACTTTGCAAAGATGAAAAGGGGTCAGGAGGATAAACCATATGATGAACGGTTAAGGGAATTAGGCTATGCCTAGCCTATCAAAGGGAATGATAGCAGTCTTCCAGTACTTGAGGGGCTGTCACAGAGAAGAGAGGCCAACCTATCTCCAAAGTATCATAAGAAGTAGTGGGTGGAAGGTCATTAAAGAGACATTCAACCTAGAACTAAGGAGAAATTCCTTGACAGTGAGGACAATTAGTGAATGGCTTACCACTGGAAGTTGTGGGTGCTCCATCCCTGGAGGTTTTCAGAAAGAGACTGGACAGCCATTTTTCCAGAATGGTACAGGATCTCCTGCCATGGGCAGGGGGTTGGTCTAGAAGACCTTTAAATCCCTTCCAACCCTATTATTCTGTCTTCTACCTTCTACTTTACCAGGTACCCCCGAAAGACAAGAAGAAAGGCGAGGCATTCTGGGCTGCTCTTGATAAAAGGGAATAATTAGGGCCTTCCCTCCCCACCCCCACCCCCACCCCCTGCTTCCATGATCTCTGAGCAATGACTCCAGACAGAGGGGCGACGTAGAGTTCAAAAGAGATGTTCAGCAGAACAGTTGGGCTGCTCTGCCAAACCGCTTTATATTTTCTGGGTTATTGTAATAATCTGACAGTTGCACTTCTCAAGAACTCATTAAAAATAATATTCCTTTTTATCTTAACATAAAAGATGTAACAATGCTGTTGAACATTCAGCTAGAAAGTCAGCTTCAGTGTCAGAGGAGAGCTTGCAAAGCAGAAAATGAAAGAATGAAAGCAACTCCAGCAAAATCAGTTCAGCATTTGATTATGAGATTTTGAGCTAAAAGTGCTTAAGACAAGTGACCCCCAACTTTTTCCGGCTTTGTGGATTGGCTGGGGGATGGGGATGGGAAGAGGAAATGATTCTGTGCAGGGGTGAAATCCAAATTTTTTCTCTACTGGTTCTGTGGGCGTGGCTTGGTGGGCATGGCAGGGGAAGGATATTGCACAATCTCCATTCCCACCCCACTCCAAGGGAAGGATACACTGCAAAATCCCCATTCCCACCCCACTCTGGGGCCAGCCAGAGGTGGTATTTGCCGGTTTTCCGAACTACTCAAAATTTCCGCTACCGGTTCTCCAGAACCTGTCTGAACCTGCTGGATTTCACCCCTGATTCTGTGTGAGTGGCAGGTGCGTGCTTGCACACACAGCTCACACAGGAGACCCCGTGGCACCTGCTGCTGCTTCTCTCTGGGAAAAGAGTCTGCCGATGGGCCTTTCTTTGGGCCGATGGGCCTTTCTGCCTACGAGGCTGCAGAGGGAAGGACCAAGCAGCAAAGGGCCTCAGCTGCTCCTCATGGAGGTGCCCTAGGATCGTCCCCCCTCACCCCCCACTTCAAAGGAGACTACTCTGGCTGGGAGTTATAGACCCAAAACAGATCAGGAGCAGTGTTAAAACCTTTGGTAGCAATTTGCAAACTCCCAGAAGGAGCGAGCGGGGAGCCTCCTTTCTGCTAACTTTCTCTGCCACAAACATGAAGCGTGTGTGTGTGTGTGTGTGTGCCATCCTTTCTCCTCCTGGGTTACGGGGGGGGGGGGGGGGCTTTTTCTGGCCCCCCCCGGCAAAGATGCCAAAGCCTTGCAAGGGCTCCTTGAGAACAGGGATGGCCAGCGTGGTCAGGCCTCTTCCTGCCTTGCCTTCTGGACAGGGCTTGATCTTCTTTGCTTGGCAACGGGGTTGGGCTGCTCAGGGCAGCCTTTGTCCCATGCTGCTACCCAAAGCAGATAAGCCTCAGGAGTTGGGCAGGTGTTCAGAATGTCTGAATGCAGCGCAGACAAAACACCCTGAATGGGGGGTGGGAGTAGCAATGGCCTCCTTCCATCTGCTGCGTCTTTTGTCTGGTTTTTAATGCAGGCAGAGAGGCAAGAGACAACAATGGGCGGGGGAGGCTTTCATTCCTTGCAAGCACAATTGGTTGGCTGCAGAATCGCGGTGGGGGGGACGGGACTTCAGTTTCTTTCTCAGGAAAGCCAGGAGCAATGTGGCTTCGGAGGGGAGGAGTTGGCTGGCTGTCCCAAATGCCTGGGCTGGGGGAGCAGCTGCAGTCTGACATGTTCCGGTAAGAGTTATGGGGAAGAATTTTGCAGCCTGCCCTACAGGCAGTTCTGTGCGCCTGTTGTAAATGATGGGCAAAGAATAGTTCTAGGAGGATAAATGTGATGCATGAGACTCCCTGCAGGCAGGCTGGCATTATTGTTCCTGGCGGCAGCTGTAGAGCCACGCAACGAACAGGGACTTCCTTTTTCCATGCTTTGCTACACATCTATGGACACACAGAGGCATCGCTCTCATAGCTGAAGTAAAATCAAAATGCTCCATAGAAACATGCTTTTCCCTCCTGCCTAAGCGGCATATTCCTGCTACCTTATTCTGGCCTCGCTTGTTTATTCTTCATGAACCACCCTACTGGGGTCCTGTGCTCAAACAGCTGCTCCACTGGGCAGCCCACCGGCCTGGGAGGGCATTCCCTGGGAGCTGGTCCAGAAGGAGGATTCTGTTGGGGTATGAAGCACCTCGGAGCCAAATAAGGCCCACCCTGCCTTAGTAACGGTGAGCCTCCCTTGAGCAGATTCACTAGACGGCCAGCAAAGGGAGGACCTGTCCTCCTTCCTCCCAAAGGGGCTTTTTCCAAGAGGCAACTGGACTTTCTGGCTTTTCTTCAAAGATGATTCGCTTCTCATCCAAGAAGCTTCTTCAAGAGCTGAAGAGGGTTAGGATAAAACGGGTGGACAATTATTAAAGAGAGATCCAACCTAGAATTGGGGAGAGATTTCTTGACAGGGAGAACAATTAACCAGGGGAAGAGTTTACCTCCGGAAGTTGTAGATGCTCCATTACTGGAGTTTTTCAGGAAGAGACTTGACAGCTATTTGTCTGGAATGGTATAGGATCTTCTTCTCAGGAACTGGGTTGGATTAGAAGACCTCCAAGGCCCCCCCTTCCGATCCTACTATTCTACGTCCTGCAACAGGCAGAGCCTCACATTTGTCCAGCTTGGTGAGCACTTAACCAGCTTATTTCTTTCGGAATAGCTTTTCCTCTGAGATACCGTTTTTTCCTAACAAGCTCTGCTCTCGGTCTCTCCTTACAATAATTTTATTAGAATTTTAAAATAAAAATATAAATAATTAAAATAAGAAAAATACAGAAAGTAAGAAGATTAAAAAAAGATATAAAATTATGACCTCTTGCCCTCCTTTCTATCAAGTAATCGATGCTTTATTTTTTCCCCTTCCTCTTTTGACTCTTTTATAACCCCCATATCCACTCTGTGACATTTTCCAAACAATGGGATTTCCTTTTCAAAATTGTATCCTAGTTCTGCAGTTTATATTTTTGACTGCAAGTGTATGTTGTTTCAAGATGGCAGTGCCCAGGGAGGACGCTTATGGGGGCATGCAATGGGTTCATGCTCAGGGGCTCTGCCGACAGGAAGCTGTCGTCCTTTTCCATTTGCAAGATTTCTAGGAAGGAGGGGCTATTACAGCAGTATCATCAAAGACCATCTACTACGGCAGGCAAGTTGAGGTGAAGGAGGAGCCGGGAGTAAGGAAAGGGCCCTGGGTTGTGGGAAAGTGCCTTACGGTTTTCAGCAGCGTACGGTTGTCTCGGAGGGATCCCACCATGCCAATAAAAGAAACGGCAAAGATCGTGAGGCCCAGGAGGATGAGAATGACGGCTGGAGCAAGGAAGAGCTCTTCCAAGGTCCGGTGCTTCTGCCTTTCCACTTCGGCATAAATGCCCACACAGAAGATGACAAGGCCGACCATCTGCAGAGGAGTGGAAGGAAAAGCAACTTAGATCCTCCCCGCCAAGCTCCGTCTCCAAGCCAAGTGAGGACTCTCTGGGCCTTCCGCTCGGCCCCCGTCCAGCCAGCAAACACAGCTGGTGGGAAGATGGCAAGAAAGGGTCTGCGGAGGTGACCAGTCAACATTTCTTGACGTCAGAAAAAAAATTTCCAATATGAAAACAGGACCGACAATAATATTTCACAAGTTAAAATCAATGCATGAATGTCAGACCAAAGAGCTATAGATTTGCATGTATTTGATCTTCCATAATTTATCATGATGAACTATAGATAGCCGATTGCTGTTTTCATTATTAAGATATCTTATAATAAAGTCATTCCATACAGTAAAAGCACTTTTCTTCCTTATTTTTTTCACTTGGTTTCAATTTACATATTTATTTTTCTCAATAGGGCAATAGACTGCACTGTATCAAGGGAATTCTTCTTAGATGTCTACTCTAGATGTTTCCAATATTTTAGTAAACTAGAAGCTATTCATTAAAAAACTAACACAGGTATTGTTTCTCAAACTTATATTCTTACCAGAAAATAATGAACAAAGGCCTAACTTATATCTTTTTCCAAGCTTTCGTTACGGTGCAATTTTCTGAAATACCTTACCCTCAAATGGGTACCTTTGAGCAAGTTTACACATAAAGGCAAAAAGGTAATTTAGTTCTGACAACCCCTCCAGCATCAAAATGTGTTTGCTTTAACTGTAAATTAATTTTTTTCTGGGCTATGCTGCTAATATTGGAAAATCTTTCTGCATGGTTTCTGCAAATTTGTGGAGAAGTTAGAAACATGTTTCATTCATCTATACATTTGTGAAAAAATCCACCAAAGGTGCTTCTTCAAGAGACAGCCACGGGACAACCATGGCCTGGGTGACGGAGAATCTTCGAGGCAGCTGTGCCTATCAGGGAGTGGGCAGGAAATGCCTTGGTAAACAATATCACCCACCCACCACCGCCTTCTAATCCACAGCAAGCAAGGCCACCATAGCTATCCATTCTTCACACAACAGATCACAGGAAAGGACAGCAGTTTAATTCCGCTTTAAAGGTCAGTGATTTCAAACCAAGCAGCAGCAAAGGCCTTATTAAAAAGCAGCACCAGAGATCCTGTAAATGCCACCCGTCTCTCACAAGCTTTGCTCAGGAAAAAGCAGCCGGGGGTGGCATCCCCTCAGCCCCCCACAGGCCCAGGTGCTGCTGCTGCTATTGGTACATTAGGAGTAACAGTCCTCCCCCTCCTCCTAGCTTTCAACCATATATGCTATAGGACATTCAAATGGAATAATAATCACACCTCTCAGAAGATGAGCAACAGCAAATAAATAAATAACATCAAAGTAACGACAGCAGATAGCAGAAAAGTTGATTCTGCTAAAGCTTCAGGAGGAAGGGACTCTCACTTCTGGGGAAGACTCTTTCACAACATCAGGGCTGTGATAGGAAAACATTGCTTTCTAACATCCCTCCCCCCCAATCCAGGAATGAAATGCTACCGGTTCGGGCCGGTTCACCCAAACCGGTAGTAAAAAAATGCTTTTAAAAGTTTTTAAAAAGTTCCGACAATCAGCTGTGTGACAATCAGCTGTGCTGTGCAATTTTTATTTGCTAGAAAGCAGGAAATCCTGCTTTCTAGTCAATCTAAATCGCGTGGCACAGCTGTCCCCTCCCCCCGCTGTTCTACTTACCTTTGCAGACTCTGAAAAGGTTTCTTAGCGCCTGCAGCGCGCATATATTCAAAGTAAACGTTTGGTGCACATGCGCACACGAAGCGAACCAGTAGCAGACTTCAGAGCATTTCACCCCTGCCCCAATCCCTGACAACAGGGAGGGCTCCCAAAGGCTTACACATTTGGGTTGGGTAAATATTCAATTTGGAGACTGGATCTAATTCCCAAATCAGATCAGGTTTTGAATCAAAGCAGAAAATTGATCTGAACCATTGAATCAAACTAGTCATCTGAACTAAATTGGAGAGCTGTTCTATTAGCATACACACATTTTTAGCAACCAAATTAGTCTGAATTGGATTGGCCTGTCAACTGGAATAAAACTGGATCAGACGGGACCCAGTTTGAACAGCCTGCCATCGCAGACTCCTGCCTGCCCATCTTGGATGGTCTGGATCCAGCCCTGGTGGAATCTTAATTCAGCAGAGTGAACTGAGCCAATTTTTAAATTCAGTTGTGGCTGGTAGTGATGGTAACAGAGCTGACAGGTTTTGCCCTTCAAGCTCAAAGCAGGCCAGTCTCAAGAATGTCTTCTCCCTATTCAAGCCTACTGAAAAACACTCTCTTGACAGGATCTCTTGGTTTCCACACTAACTCAGACCTGCCAGGTAAGCTTCTGTCCCTGTCCAAAAGGTTCTCCCAGGAGAGGAAGCCCTCCCTCTATGGTTGAACACTTTTAACAAGCAACAATATTGTTTTTCAGAACACTTTTAGAAGCAAAGAGTTGAAAGGGATCCCAAACATCATCTAGTCCAACCTTCCGTAATCTACAGGGAAACCTAACCTTGAGAAGTACCCGTCCAGCCTCTGCTTAAAAGCCTCCAGAGATGGAGAACCCACAGTCTCCATGGTTACGCAGTTTGACTCTGGGCAGATCTTACCAGCGCAGTTTTTCCTTGTATTTGAACAATAGGCAAACCCCCTTTTAAATGTACATTGTCTAAGTCATGTTAATTATTTTAGAAATGTTAAAAGTAGATTGGACTATTGAAAAAAAAAAATTACCTTACGTCCTGCAAGCAACATATAACCACTTTGCTAAGAGCCAAACATATAACGTCAGCCTGGAGCAAAGTTATTATTCTTTCTGTTAAAATTTCCTTCCACAGAAATAATGAATCACTGCTGATGTAACTTTTTCAACAGCAAAGCTTCATCAAAGCTTGGGATGCAAAGAGAAGGACCAAAGTTTTGATGGTGATGGTGATAATGTTATCCATTCAGTCGAGTCCGACTCTTGCCGGTTGTACGGGGCCAGATCTCTCCATGTCTTCCGATCTTGCACTACTTCTCCACGTTTTTCTATGCTCTGGCTGGTGTCAGCTTTGATGGTGTCTGGCCACCGTGTTCTTTGACAGCTGGGTTTCCTTTTACTGCTAACTCTTCCAAACATAACTGATTTCTCCACTGAATTCATAATCACCATCTATCTTCCATCTATCTGAGTGTGAAGATAAGCCTAAATATTGCATAGATCATAGAGGCAAAATAAAGGTAAATTTCCTTGTCAGTCATGTCCGGCTCTAGGACACGGTGCTCATCTCTGTTTCTTGGCCGAGGGAGCCAGGTTGTCCGAAGACAATTTCCATGGGCATGTGGCCAGCATGACTATATGCCAAGGCGCCTAAAACGCTGCTATCTGCCCACCGAAGTGATACCTATTAATCTACTTGCATTTGCAGGCTTTTGAACTGCTAGGTGGGCAGGAACTGGGCAAGTAAGGATGCTCACCCCACTGCGCAGAGCTTGGGTCTCCAACCCAGGTTGTCAGCTCTGCAGCTGACAATCTCAGCTTCTTTAATCACTGAGCCACTGTGCCCCCTATGGTAGATGCCTACAATATCTAACAAGGGTACAATTGGTATGAACCAGAAGAAAAGCTGAAAGAAACCCAGCAGTGGATTTTATTTTTTCTATCATTTGTGCCTTCAGCTGCTGTGTTCTTAGCTGACCCTTTGCTCAAAAGTGTGGGAAAGAAGGGCCCTTACTCTGGGCAGATAGAAGACCAGAAACAACACTGGAAAGGAAGAGGTGGCAACCCTAGAAGACAACTAGCTATCTGTCCTCTAGAAAAGAATATTTGTAGCTCAGGATTGAACTGTCCCTAGGCACTAATAGAGCTACCTAGTTGGCTAATGAAACATCTGCAAGGGAAAAAAAAAACAAGCTCAGAAGACACAAAAGACCCCACAATTTCTCTTCTATTTCTAACAGCACCCCAATACCATTTATTGATAATGCATGATATGGGTTCCATTAACGGGAAGAAATTAACTGGCAAAGAAGCCAACGTGTGCTAGTGCACATTTTCCATTTATTTTCTTCTAGAACCCAGCAAATGTGCAAAGGGAGAGAGCAGCCTATGGTCTTTCTACCATGTATTTCCATGTGCTCTTTGCTCCTCTCAGAACTTGAACAGATTAACAGAGTTGGAAGGGACCTTGTACGTCATCCAGTCCAACATCCCCCCCCCACCTTCGCCCATGCAGGAGACCCTACACCATTTCTGACAGATGGCAATCCAGTCTCTTCTTGAAAGCTTTCGGTGATGGAGCTCCCACAACCTCTGAATGCAAACATCTTTAGTCTTATTGCCATAAAAAATAACTATGGCACATGGGTAATCATAAATGACACTAAGCCATGGTATTTTTAGTCATGGTTTATTAAAACCATAACTGGCAAAGTTCATGCTTGCACTAAGCCTGAACTCCAGTTTGAACAGATTACAATTGCTTAAAGTTTCCTTGGCATTAAACAAGCCATCGCTTTCATAATTATGATGATGGTGAATAAATCATACAAAAACATCAAGACTTCTACATGACTAATTTAACTTGTGTTAAATTAAACCCACAGAGGAGAAACAAAAGCCTCAATTCAATATAAAATTCTTCAACAAAGCAGAACAGAAATGGTGAGTCAGGAGCACCATGACAGCAGAACAGAAGATGCAGGCTGGACCTACAAAATGCCGTAGCATCCAAAACAGGTTCAACATTTCCAGAAAGATCCCCAGGCCAAAGCCCTGAGACCCAAGCAATTAACGAGAGCCCCAGGCAGATAGAACTGAGGCTCTTCAAGGATTTACGTGTCCTGGTTGACCACTGCTTAAGTAAGCTCCAGCACTGTGCCTATCAGCAGGTGTGCAGTGCATACTTTTTCATTATTTGCAACAAGATTTTCTTTCAGATTTCCAAAAGAATTCAGGAAAGAAGGGGCTACAGATAGTCCTCATTTAGGAACCACAACCAGGATTAGCAACTCGGTCATTCAGCCAAGGAATGGATTTACTCTTTACTTTGCTTTGCAGATCTCCCATAGTGGTTAAGCGCAAGGATTGGTCACAGACTTACTTTTTCATCACCATCCTAATTGCAAACAGTTGCTAAATGAGGGTTAACTCTGTTGCCAGAGGACGAAAAGATCCTGTTTTCCCAAATCTAAAGTTTAAGCCTCTGCCTGGCTTCCTGGGAACACCCACAAACTGGGATTGATTGTGTCAAGATAAAATCTGGTTTTCTTTAAAAATGTTTCATTTCCCATCCAAGAAACATTTTCAGGTTTTCAGCAGAGAAAAATGTTCAAAGAAAAAAAAACAAGAAAGACCCCTTGCCCTTTGGAAAAAGCACCTTTGGGGCAAACGTGACCTAGATAATTGAGGACCTGCATTAACACCGAGCCACTGTGATCTTCTGCCAATCAGGAAAATCTGGCAAATAACAAAAAATATTCACCAAAAATCAAAATTAAACATGGTTCTGTTTAGTACAATTGTCGTGGAAAGGGGTGTCCCCCCCACCCCCTTTACCAGCCCAGGACCAAAGAAGAGGTGAAACAGGCCTTTTTTCTATTCTTCTTCCGCTGTCTAGGTCAAACTTTAAACCACCAGAATGAAGCTGCCTTCCTGCCTTTGTCCTTGGCCAAAAATAAGTCATTATTGGTACATGTTGGTACATGTTAGAAGCCGACATATCAGCAGGCTGGCCGGGCTCTGTATCTCTCCACATTCACACAGTGCGTTACTTTTGATATATTTGACATGATTGGATGCGGGATGGGGAAGAGGTTTGCCACATGCCAAGAGGAACGGGAGGCCAGTGCTTAGCGTTTAGGAAACTAGGGGCTCAGGCCCCATGGAACCAGAGATGAGGACAGAGCCTCCCCCCTCCTGGGGTTCCAGAAGATTCTTAAAGCTGGTACTGATCTATTTCAATGTGTGTCGCTTTTAAGATAATTTTAGTCTGGGTTGTCAGCATAGTTTTGTTTTTATGGGGTGCTGTCCAGAGTCCATTGCAGCTGAGGGCTATAACAAATTTGAATGGAAGGAATGAATGAATGAATGAATGAACGAATGAACAAACACCCGCACGCACGCACGCACGAACTTAAGAATCCGTTCCCAGACTTGTCTCACGAAGCCCATCAGATAGATTGGAGCTGGGCAAGGTTTTTCCAGCTGTGTTTCCTGAGAAAATGATGTGGCTCCGTGAGAAACTAAGGGCAAAAAAGAAAATGTTTACTGAAGCACGGCCAATTTCCTCTCTCTCCAGCTTTGCCCCTTGTTTAGAGGTCTTCAGAGAAAACCCTTCCAGAGAAAGCTTGGAAACCTCTGGGCAAGAGTCACATCTGGAGGACACACGTCCGTCTGAGGCTTGCGGCGGGTGTTGCTAGAGGGTGCCCGGTTAGATGGTCACAACCATGGAAGAATCCAAGCTGAGCCCTTTCTGTGCGGCGGCTGACAAAATTGCCGCTCGGGCTCCGTCCCGGCAGCGCCCCAATGGCCGAAAGAATCGAAGGCCCGACTCTCGGGGCGACGGCGGCTCCGACGGCGGGAAGCTCGGGCAGGCCCCGCCGACAGGCGCGCATCACCGGCCTGGCTCCACCGGCACAGGCGCGGCGCGAAGCCCGGGAAAGGTGCAGGCGGCGGCCGGCAAGGCGGAGGCGGCTGGCCAAGGGAGCCGGCGGGCGCGCGGCCAGGGCGGGGCGGGGGGGGGGGGTGGGGGGTGGCCTACCGAGAAGAGGGTGGAGGACGCCGAGAGCGCGAACTTGACGCAGTAGTAGTAGGGCAGCGAGTCCCGCCAGGCCGGCCCCGAGACGCCCATCGCTCCGCAGGGACGCCGGGACGCCGCCGCCAGGAAGGCCGGCCGGGCACCTGCGCGGGGAGGCGGCGGCGGCGGCGGCGTCAGCTGTGCCCGCTGGGCGCGGCGCTTTCTTTTTCTCCGGGGGTTTCGTCCACTTCCGTTTGGGAAGCGCAGGCGAGGGAAGGGGCGGCGGGGCCCAGGCCGGGTCGCGAAGGAGAGGCGCCCGCCTTTCGGCCCCCGAGAGCGACCCGCACAGAGCCCCGAGGGCCGCTCCGCTGAGCCCACCGCCCCGCCGGGCAAGCGCTCCGGGCCCCGCTCTTCGCTCGGGACGCGGAGGCTCATATTCTCTGCCCGAGGCCCCGCTCGGGTCCCGTGGAAGCCCCGGCAGAGGCTGCGGCGCCAAAGCCCCGGAAACCCTTCCAAGCGGAGGAGCAGGGAAGGCCCCAGAAGCAGCCCCCGGCCAGGCTGGGCTCTTGGAAGAGGGACCGCCTGCCCAAAGACGGGGCCGAGGCTTCGGTTGCATCTCCCCACCTCGGTCAGGAGCTCCGCCTGGAGCCCGCTTGCGCCAACCTCACTCCAAGCGCCCTTTCCACCCGGTTCCTACGGGATCCGCCTGCCTTCCTGCCCTCTCGGGCTCCGTTTTGTGTTCTACCCCCCCCCCCCCCCCGCCCCAAAGGGGGGGGGGGGGTCACCGGCTTCTGGGGCCTGGTTTCAGATCTGCAGATAATTCTGGAGGGAACCTCTGGCCTCTTGTTCCCCCTCTACTAAATCTTCCCTAAAAGATGGCACTTAAATCTGGGCCCAGGACAAGCAGCGGGAGTTTGGCCAGGGGAGAACAGAATTGGGACTTTTTTGTCCTGGGACTGAGAGTCCCATCTGGGTCACCCACCGGGGCCAGAGGCCTGGCTTGGACTAGTGCTGGAGCCCATCCTCAGGGGACTTCTCTCCACCTGAATGACGTCTGTAGTGGGCTCTTCTCTGTGTCCTCTCTATCTGGTGCCTGGTTGGGTGTAGCTTCTTACTGGTTGATTGGGGTGCTGATGGCCGGCTGTTAAGTCCTTGGCTGTTGTTTCCATGTGCTGCCAAGTCCTCTAAGTACCTGATAAACTGTTGATAAATCAGCACTCCTGTTGACTGACAAGGGGCCCGTTTCCCAGGCTTCAATCATTTCCCTGGCTGTCGTTGTACCTGCTTGGCCAACAATCTTAGTAACTTGGAAATTGAATGCATGTTCATCGCAATGTGAGGCTACCAATGAGTTCAGGTCTCCTCCTCTGACCACTCACTTGTGTTCTTGCAGTCTGGTGATTAGCTTCCTCCCTGTTTGTCCTACACAATCACAAGGGCAAGCCACACGGGCTCCAGTAGATTAATTTAATTTAATTTAATTTATCGCATTTCTATGCCTCCCAACTCCCAAGGGACTCTGGGCGGCTTACAGCAAAAATAATGTGAACAATGAACATAGAAAAATGATTTTAAAATATTATAAAAACATTTTTAAAACATTAAAAGCCCATGCACACCATTCATGGCCGGATCTCACAAGATTGCACCAGCGAGATCAACGGCTCCAGGCCTGCCGAAAAAGCCAGGTCTTCACCGCTTTCCGGAAGGCCAATAGGGTGGGGATGGTCCGGATCTCAGGAGGTAACTGGTTCCAGAGAGCTGGGGCAGCCACAGAGAAGGCCCTCCCACACGGGCCCGCCAGCCGGCATTGTTTAGCTGACAGGACCCAGAGGAGACCAAATCTGTGGGATCTTACCGGTCGCTGGGAGTTATGCGGTAGAAGGCGGTCTCGAAGATAGCCTGGCCCTGAGCCATGTAGGGCTTTACATTACATTAGAGGTATCTCCCACTTCTAAGCCATCTTCCCAATGCGTGATTTGTCCTTGCATGGTAGCCTTTAGGCGGGTTGTGAGACCCACTGGCAAGATCTCCAAGGTACCTTCCAACTCTTTATTCTGTTATTCTGAAATACTGGGACCCACAAGTGCATCTAAGGTACAGTTTGTTCTCAGGCATGCTTGTATAATTTATGCAAATTAGGATCATTAAATCAGAGAGTTCCTTGCAAGCCATCACAATGTTCCGTGTATCCCACTGCCTAGGCGGTATATGCTTATGTGCTGATACCTGTTTATTTCTTTAATTCAAACTTAATTATGGTTGGGCTACTTCCATGTGCAATTCAGATATTAAGTAGATGATGAATTAGTACTGCCGAGTCTTTCTTTTGAAGAGTTGCATGCCTGAAAGCCCAAAAGATTTCAGTACTTTCTCTGAGGCTGCGATAATTTATTCAGCCAGACCTGGCATTCAACACCAAGCTGGCAGGAATAGCCAACACCCCAGAAGTTAGGCTCAAGCTCCAGATGGATCTTGACAGACTTGAACACTGGGCCCTATCTAATAAAATGAATTCGATGGAGAAAAACGTAAGGTTTTATAGTTAGTTCAGAAAAACCAAATGTACGGGTACAGATTAGGCAAAACTTGGCTCAATATCAATAACTGCGAGAGGGATCTTGGAGTCCTAGTGGACAGTCATTTAAATACGAGCTAGCCGTGTGCTGCAGCCGCCAAAAAAGCCAATGCAATCCTAGGCTGCATTAACAGAGGGATAGAGTCAAGATCACATGAAGTGATCTTAGTACCACTTTATAATGCCTTTGCAAGACCACACCTGGAATACTGCATCCAGTTTTGGTCACTATAATATAAAATAGTGAACTCTGGAAAGAATGCAAGAGCAACAAAGATGATTGGAGGGCTGGAGACTAAAACATATGAAGGAATTGGGTATATCTACTCTTGTGAAAAGAAGAACTAGGGGTGACATGATAGCAGTGTTCCAATATTTGAGGGGCTGCCATAACCTATGTTCCAAAGCACCAGAAGGCAAGACAAGAAGCAGTGGATGGCAACCAATCAAGGATCGAGCCAGCCTAGAAGTAAGGAAAAATTTCCTGACTGAGAACAGTTGGACTGCTTGCCTTCAGATGCACTGTTCCCCATAAGATTAGGTTAGCCCCAACCCTGCTGGTCGTTGAGAAGACCTTTAAGACTGGCTGTCCTCCCAGGTATGAGAGTTGGGAGGTTAAGTAAGCCTGTGAGTTATTGTTCTGTACTGCTGAAACATTATTCTCAGCAGCAATTCGAGTGTTGAATTGCACATGTCTCTGGATCAGGGAGAAGAGCATTGCTCAAAAGGCCGCCTCTTATTCTAAGGGAAACCAAGAACTCCCTTTTAGATGCTATGTTACCTACAGGCCTAATGACTTTCATCCTCATTGGGACTCTTCAGGCATAGAATACAGAATGACAGAGCTGGAGGGGACCTTGGAGGTCTTCTAGTCCAACCCCCTGCTCAAGCAGGAGACCTGTACCATTTCAGACAAGTGGCTGTCCAGTCTCTTCCTGAAAAATTCCAGTGATGGAGCACTTGCAACTTCTGGAGGCCAGTTGTTCCACTGAATAATTGTTTTCACCGTTAGGAAATTTCTCCGTAGTTCTAGGTTGCTTCTTTCCTTGATTAGTTCCATCCATTGCTTCTTGTCCTGCTTTTGGGTGCTTTGAAGTACAGGTATCCCTCAAAGTTACAGGTCAAGCAGGCAGGGGACTGTCTCCCCAGGCATGGCCTCTGTCAACAAATCAAGGAATCTGTTCAGGGCAATCTTGGCTGAAGAACTTTGCTCATTTGCAATCAAGGAAGGCTGATTACAGTTCTGCTGCCTTGCACTAAAAAAAAACTCATTATATTTAATTGCGCTATGATTTTGTATCTCTCTTTTTTTCTTTGATTTAATAAAAACTGGTCTGATCTTGGCTTGGAAACAGATGCTCCAAATTACTAGTGATAGTGGCCACTTGGTAGGCAACAGAATTGTGTGCTTGTACAGACTGGCCTTTCTTAACTTGGTGGGCTCCAGATTTTTGCAGCTAAAATTACAGCATCTAGCATCACAGCCAACTTTATTTTCCTTCCCTGCACTTTTGACAGTGGCTCAAAACTACATGTTAAATCTTCATGTCAAATTAGCAAGTCACAAGGGCTACCTTCACAAGACCTCCTGTGTCCAGATACAATTCATACTTTATGGTGAGTGAGATCCTATAGTTGCTTTCTTTGCGAGAACAGCCCTTGAACATTTGACATTGATATTCTGGAAAATCCTGGGAAAGATAATCAAGCAGCAGATTTGTGAGCATCTAGAAATGAAGAAAGCAATTGCCAGATGCCAGCAGGAGTTTGTCAGAAGCAGATCCTGCCACGCAAACCTTGGTGCCTTCTTTGATAAAGTGACTACATTAGTGAAATAGGGAGAGGCTGTGGGTATATAGCGGGGGTGAAATCCAACAGGTTCTGACATGTTCTGGAGAACCGGTAGCGAAAATTTTGAGTAGTTTGGAGAACCGGCAAATACCACCTCTGGCTGGCCCAGAGTGGGGTGGAAATGGAGATTTTGCAGAATCCTTCCCCTGCCACACCCACCAAGCCACGCCCACAGAACCGGTAGTAAAAAAAATTGGATTTCACCACTGGTATATAGTATACTTAGACTTCACATCTATGTGGAAGGAAGCATGCAATGAGGTATCTCATAGTTCTGGGTTGAGGCCAGTGCTTCGTAACAGCTTCATAAATGACATAAACTGAGGAGACAGAATGGAAACTCATACCATTTGCAGATGACACCAAATTGGGGGGGATATCGCACACTTTAAAAGATAGGCTCAAGTTCCAGACGGATCTTGACAGATATGAACACTGGGCCTTATCCCACAAGATGCAGTTTAGTGGTGAGAAAAGGAAGGTCCTGCACTTAGACAGGGAAAAACCAAATGCATAGGCCCAGAATAGTGGCATGCCTTGTCCTGAGGATAGGACTAGAAGCAATGGGTGGAAACTCATTGAAGAGAGCCAGCGATATGTGGCTCAAAGCAGCAACTCTAAAACATGTGGATTTCAACTGTCAAATTCTGGCTGGCTGAGAATTCTGGGAGTGGAAGTTGCCAAGGTCGGAGAGCCTAGCTTTAAGGTCTTTTAAAGGGCTTGTATTTACTAGGAGCCACCTAGAATTTAATGGGCAGCTTAGAAATAAAATAAAAAAAACCAGAAACAAAATTTACAACACAGTCAAAATTCAAGCATTGCTTTGAAAATGAACATTATTTAAAATGCTTTTTAAATCCACGCCTAAGTGCCTCTACTCAATTCCAGTCTCCATTTATGAAGAATAAAATGTGTGGCCAGCCTTCAAGGGGCTCAGATACAGAATACCAGAGTCGGAAGGGACCTTGGAGATCTTTTAGTCCAACCTCCTGCTCAAGCAGGAGACCCTACAGCTCTCTGGACAAATGGATGTCCAATCTCTTCTTAAAAGCCCCCAGGGATGGAGCAACCCCAATTTCTGAAGGCAAGCTGCTCCCTTGGTTAGTTGATCTCAATGTCAGGAAACTTCTCTTTATTTCTAGGTTGGATCTCTCCTTGATAAGTTTTCATCTGTTACTTTTTGTCTTGCCCTCAGAACTGGAGGCAGTATTCCAAGTGTGGTCTTAGCAAGGCAGTATATAGCGGTACTAATACTTTGCGTGATCTTGATACTATCCATCAGTTGATACAGCAACAGGACTACACTGGCTTTTTTGGCGACTGCAGCATGTTGATGGCTCATCAGTTACTGCTGCTGAACCAGTTACTATCTCTTCTTTACCTGTGCATTTGGTTTTTCTTGCCTAAGTGCAGGACCTGACTTTTCTCACCACTGAACTGCATTTTTTTTGGACGGGGCCCAGTATTCCAGTCTGTCAAGATCTTTCTGGATCTTAAGTCTATCATCTAAAGTGCTAGCTATTTCCCCTAACTTGATTTTGTCTGCAAATTTGATAAGTTCCCCTCATCTAAAACATAAATGGTTTTGCTGGCTTTCCCATTGTCTCCCTCCACCATTGTTGAATAATACCTGCCTGGAAGGAGTCAGCTGGATGAAGATTGAAAAAAAAGAGGGAGCCCAATTTGGTGTCACCTACAGACACCCACTTGCTTCCCACTTGTTCAGGGGGAGGGAATTCTGCATTGGTGTGGAGAAGCCGGTTCATACCAGACAAATGATAACCCAACAGACACGCAATCGCAATAGCACTTAGACTTATATACCACTTTTACAGCCCTCTCTAAGTGGTTTTACAGAGTCAGCATATTGCCCCCAATAATCTGGGTCCTCATTTTACCCACCATGGAAGGCTGAGTCAACCTTGAGCTGGTGAGATTTGAACTGCTGAACTGCAGCTAGCAGTCAGCTGAAGTAGCCTGCAGTACTGCACTCTAACCACTGCGCCACCTCGGCTCAGAATCCAAGCAAGGATGTTGGGTTTCATCGGGCAGGAATAGGTGTGCCAAATCTACTTTTGACTGGGACTGAGTTAGCTAAAATCGAAGTTGTGGCACAAGCAGCCACATTTTGTTTGAAGATCTAACAGGGTTGAAGGTCTCACAGGAGGACATGTGGGCACTAGAGATCAGGGATAGAATTCAGGGACTCCAGAAATGGTTTTCTTTATTACTAAAAGTCCAGGAAAAAAGACAAGTGAAGGGATAACTGCAGTGGTGGGATTCAGCCAGTTCGCACCACTTCAGGAGAACCGGTTAAATTTCTGAGCAGTTTGGTGAACTGGCTGTTGGAAGGAATCATTAGGGCAGAGAACCGGTTGTTAAATTAATTGAATCCCACCACTGGATAACTGTAAGAGCAAATGAGGGCTGCTGTACTATTATGCCAAGGCAGCAGCAGAAAGGAGTTGGGGAGAAAGAAGCGAGGGAAAGAGGCTACAAGGAATATTGGGAATCTGTTGAGGAAGGAAGGGAGAAAAAATCCTGTGCAGCAGAATCAGATCC